CCACACTAGGATTAAAGATCTGTTCGGTACTTCCTGGTTTTCTAACTGATACTGTAATCTGACAAATTTTGGTTTCCACAGTAAACTGTGGTAAATTTCATCAGGTATCGAGTAAAGTGCAAATTGGGGGTCTGATATTTCTAAATGAGTTTGAATACCACTTTCATCCCTGCTTCGCTAAGAACTCTACTCCCGGTATCAAAGGTTCCTTCTTTAAATAGAAGCATTACTGATCTTATAAATTTCTTATTGATGTTGTGGTCCTTCTGCTTATGTTTGTCATACAAATCATCTTCATTATTATTAGTTTTATTTTAACAATTTTCTACATGCTTCCTGGTTAATTTATCGGGCTAGTTATTCAGTTTCAAAGCTTCTGTTATATTGCCGTACTTCCTGTCTTAGATTTTCCTTCGTACTTGACTGTATTGCTTACAAATTTCACCAATCCCATCTCTGTTGATGTAAGGTGTGGTGACCCAAAATTCAAATATCCGCTTTGAATATGTAAATAAAAATCCAGTCAATAATGCTGCTTCTTTGAATGATATGAAACGGGGTTTAACGGTAGAATACTCAACAAGCACGCACTTGGCTCGGATTCGATTCTGGGCCCACACATTGCTCAGCCTCACCAGACACCAGTGGTAAGCCCAGTAAAGCGGGAAGGTTAGGCATGAAGTTATCACTCCCATCCCTCAGAAAGCAACACTACTACCGAAGCATCAAGGTCTTAAACCTGAAGCCCAATGTTCTACTCAGAATACAAGAACTAGTGTTTTTACTGTGTGACATATCCAATATAAAAATTTAATATGGAATTACATACTACCAGAGTGCATAAGTTCTAGGCACATTAATATGTCAAACAATCTTGACGACTAGTGCATTTAAAACCATCAAGTATAAAAAGCAAGTCACTCTGCACTCGATGGTCACAGCCTTTTTGATGTCTGAAGATGTAAAATCTAGTCATTGAAATCTCTACAGATATATCATAATTCTGACTCAGGTACTAATTCTCAGATAATTATCACCAATCTACTTCCCCTCGAAAAACATCGATTTTTCCATTATCTAAATTGTCCCCAAATGTACAGATGAATTAACAAAAATGTTAATATTACATTACAAGTGGTCAGTGAAATCATGCAACATATGATCTCTAGAGAAAGTCCATTTAGCTATTTCTCTAATAAGGTAAACCAAATACCTTGGTTACTAGCAGATAATACTAATAACTAAAGCTGCAAATATAACTGACCTGCAGCCAGTTTTATTTACTGTTTCCATTTTCAAAAGTTTTTTTGTAGGGATTTCACTTGCTTCCGCTTTGATCACAAATTGAAACCAGTTAGAAAACCAAGGAGTAGTACTGTAAAGCTGTTTCGTCTTCGATCAGAACTGTTAAGTTGCACACACAATGAAAAGAACTTCCAGTTACAAGATAAGCTTGATAGCCATTCAGCCACTGGAAAGAGACCCAAATGCTGAGAATTCCATTCTGTATCACAAGTACTGATTTGGAATAAAGCTTATCTTATCTTATTATTGTTTCCCTGGGTTCCTAGTGGAACATAGGGCTTCAATTGCACGTCTCCCTCCACTTGCTTCTGCTGTGCTTTTCACCTGCATCCATGTTAGTCCATACTCTTTCAACTCCTCTTCACACAATCTCCTCCATGTCACCATTGCACTGACGACCAACTCGCGCTTGTTTCCCTTTTGGGTTCCATTCGAGCAATGACCTGAGGCGCGCGCGATATCACCAACCGGCCTCCTCAGCGAGTGTCCATCCAATCCATCTCCACTCTCTCCTGCATATTTGTTGGGTGATTGGCTCTTGTTTTGTTTGTTCCCGGCCATAATTTCTTGTTGGTGATTCTTTCCGGCCCGGCTATCTGATCTTCAGTATAGAGCTAGCGAAGACAGTTGTTGATGAATGTCTGCAACAGGCTGTTAGAAATATTCTTTATGACCCGCCCGCCAAGTTTCTGATCCGTATAGAAGAACTCACTTGACGTTTGTATTGAAGATCTAACCGAATTTTGTTGTTGATGCTGAGTGACGAAGATTTCCAGATTAGTTTCAGGTTGATGAATGTGTGTGTTCTCGCCTTCCCAATTCTTGCTCAATTTGACATCCTCGTCCGTTCCTCCTGTAGTTGAGACAATGCTCCCTAGATGAGTGAAGTGAATGAAGTATCCTCTTTCAAATCCCTCCCGTTGATGGTGATTGGTGTTGCTGCTGTTGTTGTTGTTTGGTTATTTTCATAACCTCCGTCTTGTCTATGTTCACTTGGAGTCCTGTCTTCGCCGGCTGCTTCTTCGACCAGTTTGTCGGTTTTAGCTTGTAAGTCTTCGATTTTGTGTGACATCAACCATAAATCATCCACGAGAGAAATCCAGGTCTTCTAGGTTCTTCACTTCGGTCGGTCCAGGATATCCCTGTTTTCTCGTTTCCCACTGTCTGACGCATAATCCAGTCCACTGGTCCCTATCAAATATTCAGATTGCAAAGATGCTTGACCTATCGCTAGTTTCAGAGGACTTAATTTAATACGCAGAATACTATGTACTGTAATGAATGTGGGACAGCAGAAAAGGTACGGTCAATACGACTGTTTATTCTTCAACCGATAATGAAATAGAGTTACAATTGTTACCAAGTTCAAAGTCTGTAAATAAACGTTAATATGATGTACATCAATACTTCTGATAGTATTTCTCCAATCTTCTGCCAACCACCAGCATAGGATTTAGCAGTGATAGCTTTCTTGTCTCCTACCAAAATAGAGACATGTTTGAATAAACAAGCACAATTCAATGTTCATCAAGTATTAACAGTCCAAATTCTAACTTCTGCCAATTCGTGATTTTAGCGCGACCTGCACCAGCCAATGTTATCTAGACAACTTCGTCCCGTAAACAGTCACTAGCGAGTATAAGATTTTTCAACTTTTCTGGAAAACTGTTCAGGAATTTCACGAAGTAAATAATTTTATTCCAATGAATTAGAGGGTATCATGATTTCATCATGAACTCATATCGGTTAGAGGACCATTGGAAAACCTGGGAGTATTGAATAGCTGTTTCGCCCCATTCTGAGGCTCTTCATCTGTACACCCACCCACTGAAGTTCGAATCTGCGGCACAGAATTAGAGGGTAGTAAATAGTCAGGTTGAATTCAAGAAAAATATCATGTCGCAAGTAATTTCGCATAGCGTATTCACTTATGTTTTTTTTTCATGAATTAATAATGAAGATATCTAACATGATAAATAACAGAGTAAAAGAAAAGTAGTATGAGGGGAGATCAAGGCATAGTTGCAGCTGCTTACCCCCGATCGATACTAAACAGGCCATTGGTTCTCTAATCTGCGTCTTTCTTCGACATCAGTTTCGTGACACTGATGGAAGATCTAATACCTTTAACAGGAGAGTACAGAGTGTTGTTATGCTTTGCTGTTAATAAACAGACACTTTCCTTACCTTGGTCATCGTTACATGAATGTATAAACCGGACTGCTTCGCCCCGCTCACCCTAAACCTTTAAAATCATAATTGTCCAAATTATTTTATTTTTTCTGACCACTTCATCCTTAATTACGTGTTATCCTTGTAAAATTAATTTATTCTAACCATTTCTGCCTTTTAATTATGTGTATTGATTTTCTTCGTTAATTACTCAACCATTGACATTTTGACGCTGACTAACTATTGTTAACAAACATGTCAGTGCCACTTGATTGGTAAACTATTGTGTATTGTAATAAAAATGCTATGCACTATATATCAGAGTATAGCCAGAGATGAGGATCTAATTGAAAAGTAAACATTTCTTCGCTCCATCTTTCTGTTTTCTAAACGAGATATTTCACATGTGCCATAAGAGGTGCAATCTAACGACATCCAAACAAGGTCAGATATTGACAATCATCAACAATGCATCATAACCAATTAGATTTTCTATAGAATTCTTCAAATGGCTGATGATGTAACTCATCAAGTCACTTCTTATGTAGTCAAACAAACAAATGAGTAAAATGCGAAACAACACAAAATTAGTCTGATATTCATTAGTGATCGACCATAAGGGACAAAGATGACTGGAGTTCTACTGAGAAGTCATGACCAGTGGGTTCAAACCAGGTGGAACACGAGAACAAAGAGGTCCAGTGGCTGAATGGTTGACGAGTTCGGTCTTGTAACCTGAAGTTCTGCGTTTCTAGCGGGTCTGTGTGTGTACCAATGAAGAGTCCCAAACTCGAACGAAACAGCCGTCCAGTACTCTCTGTTTTTCAATATTTCTCTAACTGATGTCAATCCCCATGATCCTACTTGAAACAAAACAACACAAGTTGCATACAGAAAACAGAGGGGTGGCGGTGGGAAGGATGTCGCATTACTAGAAACAAAGACAGTATACACTGACAGTTAGACAAAGTAGAGAACGTAGACAATAACTGAATAAACCACTTTTTTCTTCTTTTCACTTTCCTTGTTGCATAGTTGCACATTTTTTAAAAAGTATAAATAAGCAACGAAACTATTTTACAAAAGAGAAAGTATTTATCAGATAGTATGGAATGATAATTAAATTCGGAAAAATAAGTAAAGGAAAATGGCTCTTCAAATTAAATTCAAAATCAAAGAGAAGAGGTTTTAGTTACTGAGTTGACAAGGGAAAAGTAGGAAATGTGTTTGATAAATCTACCAGTCACATATGCACGCGCCGAAAACTTGATTATTTATTTCTCCAATCATTATTATTATGTGATAATTAAAAAAGAAACGGAATATTAATAGTAATAATAATAACAATAGTAGAAGTAATAAATTCAAATAAATATTTATTTCGCTCCTTAATATGTCATGAATAAAAATTGTACAAACACACATACACACGCACGCACGCACACACGCACCGATCGATCGATCGTCATTACACACTTCAAAAATGTAGTCATTTATGACTAGCTAACTAGCTAGCTAGCTAACTAACTAACTAACTGCCACAATTCAACGGTATCAATTACAAACGGGACACTGTTATACATCATTGTTGAAGATTTCTTAATCGATTCAGGAGGATTACTTTGTTTTGACTGTGTATTTTGAGCAGTACTGTCAGTATCAATTGACGCTGAAGAGAATTGAATATCTGGTAAATTTCCACTGAGTACAGGATTATCATATGTATCTGTTGGTTCACTACGACCATATTTCAGTGATTCATCGAACCAAATAGCATTTCTTCCACTGAAGAATACAGAAAAAAATTAAAAAAATGAACAGTAATGTTTACTTAAATTATGATAAATGTCGTGGTATTTAGTAATGAATTAAACATTGAATATATATCATGAGCTGACATTAGTTAGAGAACCATTGAAAAGCCACCAGAGAGTACTGGACAGTTGTTTCGTCCTAGTTTGGAACTCTTCACAGTACGCACCCACCGCCAGGGCTCGAACCCAGGACCTTCTGGTTACACAGCCAGCGAACTCGTACACCATTAAGCCACTGGGACTCGATTCAGTGGCCCACGAATTCTAACTTCTGCCAATTCACGACATAGCGCGACCCCTAGCCAATGTCTACGGCGAGTATTTGTCCTCACACCTAACCTACTGCACCCTACTGGTCACGACTTCCCACTGGAGCCCCAGGTAACTACCTACCTGAATAGGGCCAGTCGCCAGTGAGCATCTCATTGGTATTTAAGCGGTGGTTTGTAGGGATTCGGTGGATTGGTTCTCTAACTGATGTCAGCTCATAATGAAATCCTGTAACCAATCCACCAAATCCCTACAAACCAATACTTGAAAAAGAATATACTTTTGTTTTTCATTCATTGGGAAATACAAAAACCTTTATTATAATGAGAGAGTCTCTTCATTACAGTAAAATGTACATGAGGTTAGACTTTTTAATCCTAACTCATTTTCTGTTATCAAAATTAATAAAACACCATATAGGTATTATAAGGAGGTGATTAACAGTGGGAAAAAGGAGGTGCATTTCGTCCTATTTGGGACTCGTTAACCTGATACATATGCAATCTCCAGGGTGTCATAGTGTTTCCACCATGACTCAAATCATCACTCATCGTTTTAAACACTAAAAGGAGTTATCTGCTAGGTGAACTGGACACCGAGAGAGACACCTGTTATGCAACGGGTATCACTGATCAGTGGATAACGCTTGAGTGTTTAAAATGAGGCTGCAGGTTCTGGGCCTTAGTGGGAAGAATATCACTCACTGGGGATTGCAGGTTCATCCAGCTACCGAATCCAAAACAGGACGAGATGATTATCCTCCATACTAAAGATGGTCACCAACCACTGAATAACACCATGTTAATCCTTAGATGTCGTTAAAGAGTCCGTGCTAAGGGATGACATCTCAATAGACACTGATATAATCAATTAACGGGAAATACTTACTATTCGATTTTGACTAATTGCAATTGTTATATTTTCATCACCACTGAAAACCAGTGAGCACTGAACAGCTTTTTTGTCCTACCTAGGTACTCTTCATCAGTGAGCACCCCTGATCCCATCAGCGAACGGACCTGGGATTTTTAGCTTACGAGACTGAATTCATTGACAGTTCAGCCACCTGAACTGAAAATCAGTGACCCGTGGACTTTTATTTTGCCAATTAGTGGTATGGTACCACCATATCCAGTACCTTCAATGAACATCTAATGACCCCACTTTTCACGCACCACTGAAGAGTCCTTTAAGGGGGTGAAACAACCAATCAGTGCTACTTGGTTTTCAATGATCTCTTTACCCAATGTTAATTCGTAGCGAAAATCTAACAACTGAAAATACAAAATAAACGAATAGCATCCAACAAAGAGATTAATTTTCTACGCAAATCCATAGCATACGAAACAGACTGGAGAGTTTTAAAGAACAAGTTAGTCATGACGACTACAAAACTGTTTAAAACGAAGAAGTATTGAAACTTTTAAGTGTGCTTGATCACTTTCTTAGGAGGACGGAAGTTTAGAGGACTGAAAATGATGTTAATTCATTAGAAATTCCTACCTCATGCTAATCAAATCTTGTTAAAACCTAAATGAGAATCAGCCAATCAAAATTCAGGACAAACTCGTTTTTCTGATAAATATATAACAATCAACTAACTAAATAATCTACAATCAACTAAAATAAATGCGATATGATAATGAGAAGCTCACCTCTGACCACCGATATGAAACGAGTGAGGCGATCCTCGCATAAAGAAATAATTCTTTTTGGTCCAACAGTATTTCTGAAAGTGTGAGAAAATATGTAAAATCAGCGGATATTTTTCAAAGAGTATTAATTTCGTAAAAAAATAGTAATAACATTCGATAACTGTAATATGTGAAGGAGAAAAGTTTAGTACATGCAGTGAATAAGATCCCTGAATAATACAATTTATTGGTTGAAGATATTAATTTAGTTAGTTGAGCCTTAACCCCTTAGCCGGCAAAAGTACATATTATTATTTTATTTACTTAAACGCAGAAAAAACTTGATACAATATGGCACCAAGAAAGATGCGCCACAGAATAATAGTAAAACAACACTGTTCAAAAGTAAAAAATACAAGTAGGGAAAGAATAAAGAACTTCATCTGGAAGGAAAACAGTCATACTTCACAAGGTTAAACAGTATTCGCTAACTATCATCGGGAAGAGAAGAAAGAAGGAAATTGCAACACGTTCGCCATTGATTACGATTCTTGGCCATATCCGATAACGTTTCGAGCTATCTCTCGAACCCCAAACAGGGACACACCAACCAATGCTAATCTGGCACAAATATCCTTCAACCCACGACGCCGCGTCATGGACTGACCACCTCTCCGCCTTTTCCATCCCATCCCAGGACTAGCGAACAGGGACCTGTACGGAAGCCTCTGGGATGACCTTCGCAGCACATGCCTAAGCCACCGGAGCTGGTGTTTCCAGATGACAACACCCAATGAATGTTGATCTTCTTTGTGTTCAGACAAATACCACCTAACCTCAGAATTACTCACGCGATGATGCCATAGAACGCAAGCAGTTTCAGGATATCTGTGTTAGATGTCGAATTGGGGACAACCATTTTGAGGGCTACTCACTAACACCTCGGAACGGCACAGATAGACTAAGAATCCATACAAAAGCGAAAGGCTGTCAAGGGTGAATAAGTCAAAGTAAAATTCAGGGGTCTATGTATGAAAATAAAAGTAAGGTTGGAAAGACATGTTACTTGAGACATCATTAATGCTTGAAAGCATTTTTACGATCGCGCGGTGAGTCTCACTGATAGTTTGCTGCTTCATTTCATTTATTGTGTGAGGGCTGAGATACTGCGCGGGCACGCAGACAGAAGCAGGTGGTTTTCTGAAGGGACCACCCCCCCCGAGCCTTTGACCTGGAGTCTAATCTGCGAGGCGGAGGAGGAGCGTCAGGAGCTGCATTCTCATGGTTTCCGGTGACCCATTTAATCCGATTGGATTCTGGAGTCCATGTACCCCATAGTAACTGATTTTAGTTTAACCGCTATCCAAACACCCTTCCTGATATGGTAGGACCTGCAAGAACATGAGTCCCAGCTAGTTTAGCTTGTTGGGTCACAGCGGTATTCAAGCCCGACCACCACGGCAAGGTAGCAGTTTTCGGCCGGGCAAAAGTACAACAAGGAAAAATAATTAAATACCTCTGACTTGATTTAGTCTTGTTTCCTTTTGCTAATGATTAGGCCAAGGAGTAGGCAAACACTTTAATTTTAGGAAATATACAGTTAATTTCTAATGGAACCTATCTAGAATCACCGTCAGACTTATTCAGTACATAAGGACTGATCATTGAGAACGTGGTGGTGTAGATGGAGTCATATGTCATTCCGAAAATCAAAATTAAGATTGGAATTCATTATTTCGATACCCCAGTAGAGTCGTAGGAGCATGCTGCTGAAACCTTCTAAAACTACGACAAGACAACTGTCCATCGCTTCTCAGTTTTCAAAGGTTCTCTAACTCATATCAATACTTCATGCAATTTGATTCCCATTATGATTTTGCTATTCTGGAAGAGAAATTCATCCTGAACGATGGAAACCCTTTGAAGCCGTTAGGTTTACAAATACAAGTTAACAAAAACAACAAGTTTGCATTTTCCATCTCTAATCACCATAAGACAAATGCATCAAGAAGTCACGCATTCATATATAAACTACACTACATTACAATAAAAACAACAACAGGAACAGGAACGGTTAGCCATATTATAAAAGGAGTCAAGCACACACTCATGGGAGAAGAAACCCTGTCTACAGATTATTTAAGAATGAGGACATCGACAGAAAAACAATCCGTTAAATGTAGAATGAGACATTAAGTCGCTAAAAAAGTTCAAATATTCACATAACAGATCGAATAAAAAAAGTTAACATGTGACAGAAATCAATCTCAACTGTATGATCCAGGGACATTTAAAGTCAGAAAAGTAATCTTTATAAATTCCCAAACAAGTTAAGAAACACTTAGCCTTTCAGACAACTCAACTATCAAATCATGGAGCACATCAAACAACTAGAAGTAGTTTAATCTAAACAGTACGACGAAACTAGAAAACACCGATAAGTTACACAGTGTTCAAGTTCCCATTACAACTGATTTGAAGTACCGACTATATAATACAAGTTTTCAACCCTTCTACTTATTTGACATTTAAGTAGCTTGATAAAATAAATAAAATAAAGTAGAAAGTTCTTTCATAATCACAATCTGCAAAGACGGAGATGGTAAAAGATTTAAATACCTAATGCGAGTCAATGTTAGAGCTTCCAGAACGATTACTACTATTATCCAGTGATCCTTAAATACATAGGAAGTAAACTTCATATTTGAAAATTCTGGTTAATCTTCCTTTCGACAATCTACCAAGAGTAACTCGTGAAATGTGATAGGAGGAAATTAGTGGACCGATACGCATATAACATGGAATTTGACAACAACAACAAAAAACTTACTTTAAATGTTGGTTTCCAATGAAAGACAAATGTTTCACCAGTCCCATAAAATCCTTTACTACACTTCATTCCTTCTGACATAACTGCACCGAATACAACACCCATTGTATCTCGAATTAGTAATAAAACACCACCTTCAACATCTTTGCATTTTCTATACACTGTATTCAAGCAGTAACCATCATCTTCAGATTTATATATAGAGACTAAATTCGAGCCAATCCATTGAGCAGGAAGTTAACACTGAGCTGGAAGTGAAGAAATGAATTTATGCATACAATATACATAATATACACATTTATATCTACCAAACCAAAAACTCATATCATTATTCATATTATACTGTGTTTAACCACATTTCAATCAATATTTACTATTTATTTTGCTATGACAACATGATTGTCCTTTTGTGATGAATGCCCATGTTTCTCGTATTATTAGCTTAAAAGGATATCTGTCTGCCTGTCCGTTTTCGATATAGAACTTTGCACCGTCCCGAGGACCCCAACCTGTCAGGAAGTCTACACCTTCCTACGTGGCTGGCTTAAACTAACAGTTGCAGATTTCATTGACTGGTGCCATGTTTTGGTTTGGCCGCCGTTAGTTTTTTTTCCAGCTGACCCTATATCAGCTAACATTCACCGTCAAGGAAGGCGATGACTAGGCATACGTAACACATGTCCTAACCATCTCAGTCGACCTAGCTTCACAGCCTCGTCGATTGATTTCGCCTCCTTACCTAGCACTCGACGCCTAACCTCAATATCACTCAACTTATTATACCACTTCACACGGGAGATAGAGCTCAAGCACATATGATCAAAGACAGCTAATCTTTTCATGTCTCCCCCTCTCAGTGGCCAGGTCTCACAGCTGGCCATAAAGGAGGACGGAGTGGACTGATGAGCAGTACACCCGCCCTTCGGTCGATACCCGGATATCACAGAAGGATATCTGTAATTTGTTGTGGTCTTTTAAATCAAATGTTTACATATGTAACTTGAATTAACTACAAAACTTTATATATTATATATATATATATATATATATATATAATATGAAAATTCATTATAGTATTCACGTGAATAACTCAAATGTACTCTAATTCCCATAAATGATAAACTGAATAAACAATTTGACAGTAGACAGGATGCTATTTACAGTTAAAACTGTAACAGGTCGAGTCTGAAATATAAACTATCCCATTAATCGGCTTTGATGAAAAGTATCAGAAGCTCAACTTACGAAATTCCAGACAACGATAACTACGAAGAGTAATAGTTCCTGTTGGTAATGGTGATTATACAAGCAGGCAGTATCGTCATAGATATGCAGTCAACTGACAGCTACCTAAAAGTACTTCAAAACAATTCGACTTTTATCAACAGTTGCCGTCACTAATTCCGTACTGAAGATCAGATTGGCCAGAAAAGTTTAGCAGCAGGAAATTCTGGGTACAAACTAATCAAGAATCCTATCGCTTTACTAATCCCACTGAAAGGAATGAAAGACGACTGGACATACATACTGAGGAGACCGCTGGAGCGGCATCACACATCTGACCAATCCTAGGAGTGGAACCTGAATGGGAAACGATGAGTTGGGCATCCAGCGGCGAAATGGGCAACCGCAGAGAACGGAAGGGAGTGAAATGGAGATGAGATGCTGAAGCCCTGACATAAGTACGAATGTCGAAATTTTGAATACATTTGAATAAGTTTTCAAATAGTTCTTTCCTCATTTGCTCAATATAACAAAATCCACATGCTTCGCGCAAGAAAAAACAAAGACAAGAAATAACTCGTTCGCAGCAATTAAATTTCCAGTGATCAAATGATATACTTACGTCTGCTAGCATTTCATTAGTTAGTATTCTGCTCTCTCCACCGGAAAGCGTTGCTATAGGTGTTGATTCTTCCATACTTTCTAAAATCTCCTCCACTAAACTACGTCGTTGTTGTGTTGTATCAGTAGACTCCAGGTTTAGCCCCTATACAAGAGAATGTAGTAACAATTGTCATAATCGACAATTATATTAGTACACATTCATAAGTATTAAACAAATTTTGGCGAAATTCTACTTCTCATAGCATTTGTACATTAAGATAGAAGTAACACACATGTTAAAGTTATCTTAGGCGATTAAGGTTAATAATTTGTCCGTGTGCGTCGGTGGCACACAGTGGTTAGGACTCTCACTGACCATGCACATGGTCCGAGGTTCGATCCCCTCTGTCGACGCATACCTGATATCTATGGTCCACCTGCAAAATTTGGGCTACTGATATCACATGCTGAAAATTCCATACTTCTAACAAAAATACGGTGTGGAATCAAGCTGTAATAAAAAAAATTGGTAAAAGAAACTTGACACTTAAGCTCTGATGGTTCCATGTTCCATTTAGAACCTTTGTAGATATAGATATGCAATTATAGAATAGAGGACGTAATGAACAATTTTAGATGTGCAGTCAGATATCTTCCTAGTGTCATAATAGTGACTCCATTAGCTGGAATAAGAATAAGTGAAAACGTAGAAGTGGACATATACACCAACCAACCTGAAGACCTCAAAAACGGATGCGATAAAGTTAAAAATAACTTAGAGCACATATTTGCTTTTGGTACTAACATCTACAGTTGAAAAAGTATTCTCAGTATATATATTAACAATAATTTGCTTTATTTCAGAAACAGTACTAGTGATACAGTGTGGGATTTTCAGCACTTTATCTACAATATTGCATCTAATTTTATCAAACATTTAAAATGAGTATTTCAAAAAAATTTTCTTCTTTGACGTTCCACAGTGGAACATAGGGCCTTAAGTTAGTAGCCTGAAATTTCAGTAGCAGTGTTTAATTTTACAGGATGGGGTTGCTAGCCTCATGACCAACCTTTCCTCTTTACCAACATTATTTCTGGCTCAGCAAGATAAAGGATTGCGTCTGTGGCCAGGGATCGAACCCCGAGTCGGCGAGCGTCCTAGCCGCTATACCACCGACGCACAATTTTGAAAAATAAATATAAAAAAAAACAAAATAACAAAAAAATGCGAAAAAAATACCAATTAGTAGAATGGAAAATAAACAACATAATAAATAATATCTCAGTATTGGGTAATGGAAGCTATGATATGTTTATGCGTGGTGAACAGTAAAGCTATAATCATTAAAGAAGTTATGAAATGATATTAAGAATGTCTATCGCCATGATGATCAGTTAATTTGATTGAACAACACTAAACAATCATAAAATAAACATTTCAAGGGTTTTATTGTCAGCTCTGATGCGGTGTTTGTAGTGGTAGCGTGAGTAAACCTGCATAATAAAAAATTTTTAGGATGGTGATAACGGCGTTCACTACCATGATTGTCAGTTAATATTGCCGAAAAAAACAATCACAAAACTAAAATTACATGATGGTTAATGATAGGACAATTTTGTAATACTCATAGTGATAATATTTATTTATTTGATTACAGCTTGATTCCACACCGTATTTTTTAGTACAGGTATGGAATTTTCAGCATATGATATCGGTAGCCCAAATTTTGCAGCCCAACCATAGATATCAGGTGTGCGTCGGCAGGGGATCGAACCCCGGACCATATGCATGGTCGGCAAGAGTCCACTGTGCCACCGACGCACAATATAGTCGGAACCAGTAGATACACAAAAGAAGGAATAGAATAAAGTACAAAAAAAACTAAGCCAATGTTAATAATTTAGGTATAGCTAAGTATGTTTAAGAAGGTGTTCACTATAGAATACAAATAAGAGAGAAAAATAAAAGAGCCGAAATTATGTTATAAACAACAAAGCAAGTCATAGATAGGTTTCGCGTTTACTGTCATTCACCAAAAAATAACACAAAAGTTAGGAAATACTGGTTAGATAGTTATGACACCACACCGTACAGCTCTATCATGTTAGCACACTGTCAATTACCTGCTTTGTGCCGAATAAATCCAACACCGAAGTTAAATCCACAAGTTTTTTCAAAACCTGAAGATTAATAAGACTATCGTAATATTTACTACTGGTAAAGCGATGATAAGACACTAACAACTACACATTGGAGCATCAAATAATCTTTTGCATTAAAACAATCAAATATTCTTGGGAAAAACAATATCGGATTGGATAATTGTGCATCACATTTGCATGTTTCCATAGTAATTTCAGATAGTTTGCGCAATTAAATACCATTTTTGTGGTGAAATATGCACTAAATAATTTCATATTTCACCGGGTGAAAAGAAAAGCCAACTTCATTAAAATTCAATCACAGGTGAAAAAATAAATATTCTTGGTTAATTTCTATGCATTAATCTGAAAAGACCTAATTTACAAAGCAAATGGCGAAGTTGTACACCCAGAAGAGTGTGCGTAAATTATTGAACCGAAATGATCAATTATAACAGCTAGTTAACCGACTAGCTACACACTGTTTGAATGTCCTGCCCCCATAACATTACTTACAAAGAAAAGGTAATATTTCCCGTGATGCACCACTGAAGCTATGCATTCGGTGTTTATCGGCAGAATCCTAGACAACCACACACGTGGTTCATAGTTCGATTCTTAGTCAAGGCGCTTCTAAACTTTGCTCCTGCCTAGTTTTCTAGGCAGTAGCCAGCCTGGAATGTTGTTGTTGTCCCCTTGGGTTCCTAGTGGAACATAGGCTTCAAATGCACATCTCCACTCCCTTCTGTCTTCTGCTGTACTTTACACCTGCATCCATGTTAGTCCGTACTCTTTCAACTCATCTTCACACGATCTTCTCCATGTCACCCTTGCACTGACGTCCCACTCGCCGCTTCCCATTCTATCGGGTTCCACTCGAGCAATGGCCTGACGAGCGCGCGATGTCACCCAACCGTCTCCTCAGCGGGCGAGTGTCCAATCCACCTCCACTTTCTCCAGCATATTTGTTGGTTGGCGATTGGTTCTTGTTTTGTTTGTTCCCAGCCAGAGTTTCTTGTTGGTGATTCTTTCCGGCCCGGCCGACCATCTGATCTTCAGTATAGAGCCAGCGAAGACAGTTGTTGGTTGATGATGGTCTACAACAGACCGTTGGAAATATCCTTTGTGACCCATCAAGTTTCTGATCCAAGCCTGGAATACAGACTAGCAACCCGACCACCCGAAAGAAGGACAACACCAGGGCTACACAGAGAATTCAAAGTTTGACGCTCTATGTTTCACATCAGAAGACAAGGAATGAAAAGAAAGCACCAATTTTATCATCCAAAGATAGCTCGAAAATATCCGAACTAAAACAGTGATAAAACTATCAAGAGAAGCACAACAAGAAGCGAGAATTTTCAGGACTACATTAAAGCGAATAATTCAGAAATTCTTGCCAGTATTTACACTACTGTTTTTTCGGGGGGGGGGCACCGTGGCATGCATCTAATGCGGTTATCCACAGTATTCTCGTTTTCATGAACACAGACTTTTGGTTAATACTGTTCAGAGTTTCAAAGGAAATACAATCGAAGGTATATATACTGACTTGTCATAAAAAAAATATACGCCAAAAACTAATAGCACAGGAAAAAGGATAATTTCAAGTAAAGTCTAAATAAATCAGGTGTAATTCTAATCAATATCTAGCGTTTTATAACAACAAAGGCAGAAGAAGATCATTTGAAGCGAATGTATTTTACCATACAGCAGACTGAACAGGAAATCGAATGAACGAATGTCTTTTCACATAGTTATGAAGTGAACAATTGAAAAAAAATTTAAGCAATCGTTTTAATGTTGAAAACTGGGTTGATCACAATTGTGAGCTGTATCTAATCGATAAACCCAAGTGGTTTATGTGTTTTTCGACAAAATAATATATAAATAGTTTACAAAAAGCAAATGCATGTGCTGGCAATTGATCGTACCCCCCTATATATAGTCATTATAATATCTGAATGAAATGAGTTTTTTATCAAGAACACTGAACTGGATATGCTATGGGATCCAGGTTTTCAGAAGCACTTGCTTTCAACGGAATCATGAAAACGACATGAAGGCAATATATTGTGTCGCTAATGCTAATAAATGAGTGACAAAACAGTAACGAAAATAAAGAGTTGGTGTTTAAAAGCTACTAACTGTGAACATAACACAGATAGACAATTCTCACAATTCTATACATATAAAACGGGGTCCTATATAAGACAAAAGAAATTAGAAAGGTATTATTTTCGGCAAATTCCTTTTCACCTTGTACGTGATTTTAAACATCATTTCAGTGCTGATGAGGTGTGTTCAACCGACGCACTTCAAGCATATCCATTGGACAATGTTCTTGAATCAGTTTGGATGAAGAGTGCGTTGAAAGACCTATGTACAAGGCTTTACAAGAACTAGATAACTGACATAGCTGCACATAGTACATAGTTGTCAGATAAGGAATACAGATGATGATAAAATTTTAACGACTGCATCTATGCTTCTCTTGACAACAGTCCTTTTTTGTGATAACTAGATTTTTATATTTAATAGGCTACTTTCTATTCGAAATTGTTAATTCTTTAAGGTTTCGAGTACTGCTAAACAAAAACATATGAAAGTGGGATTGTACATCTATTGAAAATGCAAACGTTTGAAATATATTTTCCAGTGGTTTTCTTTTGTTTCTCATAGTCTGATGAACATTTTCTTCAATAATAATAAAACTGTTGTCAACACATAGATTGAATATTACTAACCTGACATATGCAGGATATTATATACACTTAACGGAGTAGACGTCAACCAAAGGCTATTAAGGTATTAATTAGTGACATAACTACAATTATTCTATTGCTGTATTTACACCTAAGCTTTGTACTGTTCAAGACATTAAACATTTTTATTATTTTAGACTATTTAATAATATATCCTCAATCATTTTTCAACAGTATCATTTCTACACCTTCAATACTTCCACATCAATTTGTCAGGTGAAGTAGCAGCCATAATAGGTGACCTGGTACAATGGAGGATGGGTGAACTTCTGTCCTCCTCTCGAAATGCTCTCATGTAGCCGCGTGTTTATAGTGTCTGACAGGCGACCCCTATTAATGCCTTCACGTGGTTGTGGTGATGTCCCTCACAAAAGTGAAAGTGAGAATGAGAACGCCTGGAGCTTACAACCAGAATGGTGGACATGCTGGTCTGCCTAGGAGAACTAAGAAACCCTGATTCCAGATACATGTGGAATCCAAACGCAACGAATGCCGTATGAATTTATTTTTGTCACCAGAAGCCACGGGTACGCGACTTCATTGCCTTGTGCATTAGACTTTGCGTCAAAGGCTCGAGAGTGGGTGTAGCCGTTAAGACAACCACCTGCTTCGGTCTGGGTGACTGGGTATTATCCCCTACCTGCATACAAACTATGAGATTTTGTGTGACGCACCTCGTGGCACCCAAAATACACCACGTTTGTTTCTTAATAATAATAATAATACTCTATATGTGATCCAGTCTGTGAAAGTAATGAATTTGCTAATCAGCAGTACTAGAGTATAATTACGTAAGACCAGATATTTATACTGTATTATTTACCGAAGGCATTTCCAGCTTACAATAGTAAAACGAATATGATTATTAGATAGTATTGCTATCACAAGATCTCTAAGCGATAAGCACTAGTTAACATATGTAGAAATGAAATCTAGCAATTTAGTTTTATGAACTATGCTGTAGAAGAATAATTAATAAATAATTCAATGAAATGAGAATGTGTATAACTTATAACACGCACGTACAAGTTGAATGCACAAACTGTGATTAGATAGATTATTGATCACAATAATCAAAATCAAATAAAGTAAACACAGAAATTATAAAAATCAGCTAGCTTTTTGTGCTTATAGTTTACTTGTTATAATATTATAATTTTCATAACTAAAACATGATAAACATATTTATACATTTCAATTTGGATTGTATCACTAGTGTACAACAGCAAGGAAATATTTTGCTAGCACAACTTCGTAGTACAAAACTATACAAGTGTATTTATATATTTGGTATAATTGGTTTATCAGTAGTGTTCGCTACAATACACTAATGAATACATAAAAGTCAAAGAACCAACCAAATCCCTACAAACCAACACTTGAATATCAATGAGATGCTCACTAGTGACTTGCCCTATTCAGGTAGGTAGTTACCTGGGGTTCTAGTGAGAAGTCGTGACCAGTAGGGTGCAGTAGGTTAGGTGTGAGGACAAATACTCGCCGCAGACATTGGCTAGGGGTCGCGCTATGTCGTGAATTGGCAGAAGTTAGAATTCGTGGGCCACTGAATCGAGTCCCAGTGGCTTAATGGTGTCCGAGTTCGCTGGCCTTGTAACCAGAAGGTCCTGGGTTCGAGCCCTGGCGGTGGGTGCGTACTGTGAAGAGTTCCAAACTAGGACGAAACAGCTGTCCAGTACTCTCTGGTGGCTTTCCAATGGTTCTCTAACCGATGTCAGCTCATGATGAAATCCTGTAGTCAAAGAACGAGTATGGTTACATTGAATCGATAGCTAGCCCAAAACCTTGACCGATTAAAGCGAAATTAAGACCAGGAACCTGCAAGGTGATGGTTCGAATCATGCCACGACTAAAGTGTTCTTTTAAACTTTGAAATAACACTTCTAGTTCAACTTTGTAACAGTGATGAATACAAACAGCATTAAGGCATATCACTTCCTTGTGATATTTCGTTGAATAAGAAATCATATTGATGTTAGAATAACAGGAAAAACATAGTCCAGGATCTTAAAAGGGAGTAAGCGGTTTACCATGAGACAAGTCCTACTACCTAACCTGATAACGAAGCAAAGTTGACCTGAGATACAACACATTCTAGAAAGTATTCCTGTCCTCTGTAACAGTTCCTATCTTAGTGTTACTTGTTGATCAGTCAAAGCTAACAGTATCAATCAATTCTCTGTAGTAAACATAGACGCTGAATGAGACAGCTGTTAATAATTCAAATGTAAAATAAAATCTGAGCACTTGCTGTAACATATGTTCACGTTTAAATAAAACTACGATACTTATCATAGTGACGTAAAAGTTGGTATTAGCATATAATATACAAAGAGTTGAGAAATTAAACACTTATATGCTGTGGCTAAAGCAGACTGTTTTTGTATCCCTGAAAAATAGTAAACGAAATAGTACTGTGGTGAGAGCTGGCTGTTAGCCGAAATTGGTAGATAGTTATTTACGTCAATGTGTACGTCCCCGATATTTGGTCATATGTTGATTTCCTAAATAAACGATCTGTTACCTGGCCCTTGTCTTCTGTTGTTACAGTACTATTTGCTTTAGTTCTCAGTGAATGATGGTGTTCCCACTGAGACTTATTGCCTCAAATCGTTATCCATGATAAGTGCCTCTCATGGCCGGATCGGTTTACTGGATGGCGCTTTGGCGTTTAAAACGATAGGCAGTGGGTTCGAGCCTCAATGAGAACACTATCACTCACTGCAGATTACAGGTACATTCTGCCAACAAATCCCTAACAGGTTCCATTGCTAGCCACCATCCATCAAAATAACATCAGATATTATAATAAAAAAATTTTTCCTTCACGCTCCCAGTGGAACATAGGGCTGCAAGCTAGTGGCTTGAAGTTTCTGTAGCAGTGTTCATTTTTACAGGATGGGGTTGCTAGCCTCATGCTCAACCTTCCTTCTCTACCAGGATTATTTCTGGCTTAGCGAGGTAAAGGAGTGCATCTGTGGCCGGGGATCGAACCCCGGACCATGTACATGGTCGGCGAGCGTCCTGACTGCTGTGCCACCGATGCCCCTATACTACAAGGAAAAAGGAAGGCAAGACTAGTGACAAGAAATGGTGGAATGGAAGTGTTCTTTGACATAAAAACACAGTTCGAAATAGGATTCCTGTTATCAGATTCAATGAAAGTTAGAAATAACACTTCCACATACAACTCTAAATCGTCAATTACAGGTACTTTTTAAAAATATCATTTTTGATGTAGTCAGTGTTTCACATCGTTTAGAAGGTGAGAGGAAATCTTAAAATATGAGATATAACCCACAGCCATCGAAATACTCAAGTGGAGAAGATTTTTAGCTCAGGTGGATGATTTTGATGCGGTTGTGTTCTCTGAGCTGGATAGTTAATTTGCGAAGCTTTCATCACCCTACTAGGTGACATCTTCAGCGAATACTTTAATTTGTTGAAGTGAGCTTTTAGATTTCTCCACGAGTTTATTAATCATCTCTCCTGGTCGGTGACCTGGGATGTGATTGGTTGTTTTTGTGTGTTTTCACGCCTTCTAGGCTACCTTGTATTGGAATTGATTATTTCTTTGATTTGAACTTTGACCCTTTGTAAATGAGGTTTCTTACTTATCGGTTGATAAATTTAGTCTATCTCGATGTATCTATTGATTGATGGTTCACTGGAATGCCAAGCTTCTAAAAATTCTCTGGCCAGCATTCTTGTTGTTTCCTCTGTCTAATATTTGAACGTTGTCCCAGTCGAATTGATGTCCATGGTTGTCTGTATGTAGTGATATGAGCGAGGGAGTGGATATCACGTCTTTTGACGCCTAGCTTATCGTAGTGGATACGAAGACGAAGAGGACATCCACTTTGGCCAAAGTAGTGTTTTCTGCACTTGTTACAATTTATTTTGTAGATGATGAAGTGCTCCACGGAACTTCATCAAGAGACATATACCCCCAAGCCAACCTATCAAACCAAAAGCTCCCAAGGAAAGCACAAAGAAGATCGCCCTACCACATATGAAGGACATCTCAGTAATCACTGCAAGACTCTTCAAACCTTTAGGAATTGATGCTGCACACAAATCAACAAAATCACTGCACTCAGTTCTATGTCGAAGAAAAGACTCAACAATGAAAGAAGATAAAACCAACATCATCTACAAAATAAATTGTAACAACTGCGAAAAACACTACATTGGCCAAAGTGGACGTCCCCTCGTCTTTGTATCCAAGATCATAAGCTAGCCGTCAAAAGACATGACATCCACTCCATTATGTCACTACATATAGACAACCATGGACATCAGTTCATATATTAGACAGGGGAAACAACAAGAATGCTGGCCAGAGAATTTTTAGAAGCTTGGCATTCCAGTGAACCATCAATCAATAGATACATCGAGATAGACTAAATTTATCAACCGATAAGTAAGAAACCTCATTTACAAAGGGTCAAAGTTCAAATCAAAGAAATAATCAATTCCAATACAAGGTAGCCTAGAAGGCGTGAAAACACACAAAAACAACCAATCACATCCCAGGTCACCGACCAGGAGAGATGATTAATAAACTCGTGGAGAAATCTAAAAGCTCACTTCAACAAATTAAAGTATTCGCTGAAGATGTCACCTAGTAGGGTGATGAAAGCTTCGCAAATTAACTATCCAGCTCAGAGAACACAACTACATCAAAAAAAGAATACTCAAGTCTTGTAATCGATCATTTTCGTTTACACATAATTTTAGACTACCATAATAACAATAAAAATAACAATAATATTATTAATAAGTTCTCCTGATCCCTTATATAACGAAATTTTATTGAACAGGGCACTGTATACGCTAGAGGAAATAGAAAAACTGTATCGTAGGAACAGACGTAGATGTTAGCAACTGAAGGGAAAAAAATAATTACATAAATCTGAATTAAGCTATTTTCGTAAAAATCAAACCAGATCCAGACTTTGATGGTTCGAGGAAAACATGGACATCGAGAATATATATATATATATATATATATATAGGAATGACAGGATGTACTTTTTACTCTAAGAAACAGGCATACATTACATTTCCTATATTATACTGATGTTAGGAGGATATTGATAAATAACTAGGATAGATCATGTGAAATAGAAAGATTATGTTTTTGATATTAAAACTTTTTCTTAAAAAAAAGAAGGAACTTCAAATGAGAGACAGTAAGTAAAGTGGAAGAAACAGGACAAAAGAGAGAGAGAAAGAGAGAAAATCCATAATAATAAAATCTAAAGAAACGATGTAAGCAAGTAACATGTGGTGACTCCAAGTGAAATTCCAGCCTATAATGGAGGGGAAGTGAATTTATACTATCTTTTGAAAATTATGTGAATAAAGAAAATAAATAAATAAAAAGTTTACCTTTTCAGGTAACTGATTTCCAACATTGCCATCCACAGTGTTTACACAGTGATCGTTGATTTTTTCACTATGATCTGAGCTACCGACACCAGCACGTAACAAGAAACTGTAGACTTGAGTGAGACTTTAAAATAAAATAAAAAACAAAGTAGAATAGCATAGATGAGAGGTGTTACTTATTGTTGGAACAAAGAAAAAAACAACTGAAAAATTAATTTTCTGCACTTCAAAGTATGTGTCATCATCGAACAACATTTCAGGCGGTTTACGGCTTCGTTCAATATTACAGGTTTCAGACCGTAGATGTTACAAACTCCCTGGGATAATTTCAGCAACGAGTCAGGTTGAATCATTATTCTTCAGAAGAATTATCCAGATTTTATTGGGTTTCTGTGAGTTCCTTGCAACTCCTGGATGAACGTCGGTCCATTCCGACTAGCAGCGAATACAACAATAAGCGAAAGGCGTTTACGCGCACGATTAGACAGTGTTTACGTTAGGACCACGAAGCCTGGTGGTCAGAACGTGCGTGTGAGATGGAGTCAGCTGCTGCATCTGGCAACAGTCGGAAGCTGTTCCAATTCATCCGAGCCACCGGCAGCAAGAAACAAGGTGTCAGCTAGACGATCTGTGGGACAGATAGCACGCCAGTTACCGGCCTGAAAAGACGCCTGGAACGCTGGGCAGAGCACTTTGAGAAACATTTAATACCGACGCACCAACCGGAGCGGAGGTCCGTAAGGAACTCCAAATGTTAAAAACCACAAGGCACCCGACCCAGACAATCTACCCCTGGGTCTTTATAAAGATGCTGGCGAGGATCTCGTAATGGCTCTAACTGGATTATTTAAGAAGGTATGCGAGACTGAGAGTGTACCATTAATGCGGAACGCAGCCAATATAAAACTAATTTTGATTGGAAATGGTTATCCGAAAAAGCTGCTTAATATTACATAATCAATAAAAAGGACCAGAATGTAAAACCGAAAATTGAAAAATCTTAGCTATCGACCATAGCCGTTCCATATCGAAATGATACAATTGAAAAACTTCAAAGAGTACTTGCTTCATATAGTGTTAAAGTCTATTTCAAACCCGGGTAAGTGTAAAAGATATGTTTCTCAAAATGAAAAAAAAACTGTGTCTATAGGAGATAGTGTTCACAATGTGAAGCATGCTATATAGATAAGAGCAGTAGGGAAGTGAAAGGCATAGTGAATGAACACAGACAGTGCACGAAACGTCCGCCTAGAAATGAAGTAGAATTAAGTAGTCTAGAAAAAACATCAGCCCATAGCGACGTATGTTATAGACGGCGGACGTAAGATCGACTTCTATAGTGTCGAGATTCCTGGAAGACTCTCGTTCACATAAAGAAAGACTAACGTCTGAAGCCTTGCATATTTGAATCACATCGAATGAAGTAAATAGACTCATCACCTTTATATGTCAAACTCTAGTGAAGCAAAGCAGATGAGGAAACAATATATATATTTAACCTATATTATGACCACTTTAAAAAATTATCATCTATTGACGTGTTTCCCATATAACAAACATCATGCACATGAGGACAAACATGCACATATTACAATTTGACATTAGTCATTACAAATACGTGGTGATTGTTTACAATCTCTATTGGTAGGAATGTCTATCGACGAGTGACCATTAAAGGAACTCACTTCAATTTGTGTAATTTTTTTGACTATATAAAATTTGATGGTTAATAAAGTTCGAAGAATTCTGTTGAAGAAGCTATGGCTTACAAAGAGAAACGCTTGGTAAAAAGCTTTTTGTTTGGTTTTTCGTTAAACATGATGCTGGGATTATTTCAAATAATTTATAATGATTCAATCTGACTCAGTGCTGAAATTATTTCAGGGAGTTTGAAACATCTACGGTCTGGAAACCTATAAGCCACATTGTATTGCTTTAATTTCACACATGAAGTTTGAAATATCTTAACTGCTCAGTTTTGGGTTAGAGGAGTGTGTATTAGGAAAACGAAATGTCGTATTCTTTAAGGATATACAAAAGATTTCACATCAATTAGGAAAAGACGGTCTTCATTAAAGCAGTATCTAATAAATAAAGGTTTATACCGAGGATTTCGCTGATATCCTTAAAGAAAAGACATAAACTTCTACTGTGTTGGCCTGTTGTGGAGCAACACAACCACCACCTGCATATTGATTGCTAAGAAACTGTATACAAGTAAATACTATCCCATAAAACCCGTCGTAATCCATGCTGAACAACTACTCACTCACTCACTATTATCAATCATAATATATTAATTAAGTAATTATGTTGTTTATAAAGAGGGAATGAAACACAGGCTAGTGAGAACATATGCGGTCGATATAATTACGTATAACACTTGAAAACACTTGAAAATAATTATGTATACTTAATCAATAGTAAAAATGAAGGTCAATAGACAACCAAGAAAACAGCTAACCAACTAAAAATAAACTTAATTTTCTGTTTCCAATGTCAAAAAATACCTTTGAAGTGTTTTATGCGTAAAAATACAGACAGTGAGCAACTTCAATGAAGTGTGATGAGAACATTAGTCTACCTTCTCATCATACTTCATTAACATTGCACTGATCAAGGCACTCTACTCGAACTCATGCAGTCAACCAGGTGAGGGCTTACGGAGAGTTGTCATCTGAACTGGTGACGACTAGTGGTGTCCATCAGGGATGCCCACCATCCTCATTTCTATTCAACTTCATCATAGATGTACTAATGGACTTAACCCTAACACACTTTAGAGACTGAGGGATTGACTTCCTATCGGGGAATAATCTAGTTGACTTAGAATATGCAAACGATATAGTCCTTCTAGACGAGGACGCTGACAAAATGCAGAGTCTTCTAAACACCTTGAGCAGCAATCTACGAATGTTTGGGATGCGATTCGCTCCCGCCAAATGCAAGATGATGTTACAGGACTGCACTACACTGACTCCTAGTTTAGAAATAGGGAGTGAAGTGGTAGAGCACGTTGACCACTTCACTTATTTCGGAAGTACCATCAGCCAACACCAACGGGTTGATCTCTGACGAAATCCCAACACGAATAGAGAATACTAGTTTCGCAAATGCCAGTTTACGCCGTCTTTGGAGTAGACGTGATATCCGACTATCGACCTAAGGGCGAGTGTACTGCTCATCAGTCCGTTCCGTCCTCCTTTATGGCCAGCTGTGAGACCTGGCTATTGAGAGTGGAAGATATGAAAAGATTAGGTGTCTTTGATCATATGTGCCTGAGCTCTATCTCCCTAGTCAGGTGGTATAATAAGGTGAGTGATATTGAGGTTAGGCGAAGAGTGCTAGTTAAGAAGGGGAAATCAATCGATGAGGTCGCGAAGTTGGATCGACTGAGATGGTTAGGACATGTGTTACGCTTGCATTCCTGACCATCGCTTTCCTCGACAATGGACAATGTTAGCTAACATAGGGTCAGGCTGGAATAGAGCTAGCTAGTGGTGGTCAAACCAAAACATGGCATCACCATTCAATGAAATCTACAACAGTTAGTCTAAGCCACGTAGGAAGGTGTAGACTTCCTGACTGACTGGGGTTCTCGGGACGGTAAAAACCAATGGCTGGAAACAATTGGTGATATGGCTCAAAATCGTTCTCAATGGCTGGCGAAGATGCATCCACTCCTTGTCACTTGTGATTTCCAATGAAACTGTTTTGTTCTTCGTTATTACTATTCCTTTGTCTCATACCTTTGTTTACTGTCTCTATTATGCATTTCTTCTACTTTCTTCTCTTGCTTTGTGTGCTACAAGGAGGGAGTGTGGCGAATTGAACTGCCGCACATATGTCGAAAACAGACAGACAGGTAGACTAACTCTTATTTGACAATAATTAGTGTTTACTGTCGTCAATACGTACACATTCACACCAAAAGACCGAAAGTATCATTTATTCAAAGATTTGTTTAATACAGGTTTATTTACAAAACACAGGTCAGTGAAATTATAAGGCTGCTGCTCATTAATACATCTGCGAGAAGATAAATCTAAAAAAGATGACTGTTTGATATAAACAAGAACGACATCGTAAATAAAAAAGGCATTCAAAGTAGTGAATGGATGCATTTACACCTTTTCTTGAATTCCCGACACATCAATCATACTACTATGAAATATGGTGATTAGAACAGATACGTGGTTCTCTACTAGGTTTTGTAACATTTATTTGCCTATTGAAGATGAAATATCATATAACGGTGAAGAATTATATTGATGTCGGGGAAAAAGAGCATCCTTTAGGGCAGTACAAAGATACTAGCAGACTGAGTGACTGAGTCTCAAAAACAGTACCTTCTACAGAAATACAGCAGCTCAAGATGCTAGATTCCATGTAACACATAGAGATAAGGGACAGAACACACTCAAAAGAAGTATGATGAACTAAAACGTGAAGAAGAAACAATAGCGACACGTTAAAACATGAAAATATAGGGAATATGGGAGATCACCACACACAGTGACTGCGCCTTCGCCACACCAGCAATTTTCAAGCCGGTGGTTCTTAGAATCCGAGGATCTCAAACAGACAGTCTATACTACCCTACCCTATGTGGCTCATGAACCAACTATGAACTACTTCACGGATTGATGCCAGGTTTTGGTTAGACCAAACCCCATAATCCTTTACCAGCTTGATCCTATGTCAGACAACATTGCTTGAAGAGAGAAAGATGGTGGTTTGGCATGCATGACACGCATCCTAGCCATCTTAATCAATGTATTAATGTATCTAGTAGTTTTCATCTAACACTTCAATATCACAGGATTTCATCATGAGCTGACATTACCAGAGAACCATTGGAAAACCTGCAGGGAGTACTGGACAGCCGTTTCGTCCTGGCTCTTTGGGACTCTTCATCAGTACGCATCCACCGCCAGAGTTCGAACACACGACCTTCTGGTTACAAGGCTAGCGAGCTCGTATACCATTAAGCCACTGGGACCCGATCCAATGGCCAGCCTATGAATTCTAACTTCTGCCAATTCACGCGACCCCTAGCCAATATCTTCGGCGAGTATTTGTCCTCACACCCGACCTTCTGCACCCTACTGGTCACGACTTCTC